CTAGAGACAGACGTCAACACTTTCCGATTGCGTCGGCCATACTCCAATACGTAGAAGTCGCTGTAGCACCGCTTGTCAAGTGGAGTAAGAAAGAGATATGAGCTGTTTCACGCCTCTGGAGAACAGTTGAAGACATTTTTGATACAGTGAGAATCAGGATTCCCATTCGTAAGCAAAAGGCTAAGGATAGAACGCGCGGTTATTTTTACGATTCATTTTAGACGTTTCTACATTTTTTCTTGTATTTCTCATTTTTATTTTCCCGCACTTTTACCATTTTCCTTTTTTTCTCTAGACCTTTTGGGTGAGGGCATGCTTCCCCACCCTTCATCCGCCTCTGCGATTACATAAATAACATATCCAACAGTTTGAGTTGCGCCTCTGAATTTGGTCACGAAATTACATCACTTTTTGGTGCTTTTAGGGCATTTTAAAAACATTTTAAGAATCTTTTATTAAGTTTTGGCGATGTTTTAGGTCATCAAAATCCACCCCTTCGTTATATTTACCCATCCCAAGGGTACTATAAAATGCCCGACTGTGTGTCGAGTGTGGTCGGTAAATTAAGATTTTTTTAAGGATGTTTTTGTCGAATGTATCACAGATTATATGGAATGATGCAGGCTAAACTCAGATCATGCTGCGATACGATTTTATTCGTTTAAATGTTTATCCGAAAATATTTTTACGGAGTTGAGAGAAGGTTATGAAATACTGCGCGAAAAAACGGCGAAATTTCAGAAGAAAAACTCTTGTTACAGAGCTATGCCAACGTGAAAGTGGATATATTCAGTGTGTGTGTGTGTGTGTGTGTGGGGGGGGGGATCTAACACGTTGTATAGCCAGAATCTGTTTTGTATGTCTTTGATACCGAAAAATCGAAAGACGACAAAACGTCTGTCTGTTCGTCTGTGAACACCACTAGTGGCTAAACCGTTCAGCCGCTTTCTTCAAAATTGCTATTTTTTAATCGATCTAATGTCGATGCCTGGGATTTAAAACCGATATTTTAATTTTTGGAAACACTTTATATGAAGCACTTGGGACATTTTTCAAAAAGTGCTTTTTTTGAAAATTCTTTCTTTCTTTTTGATTTTTTTTAATTGCAAAGTTCAATTTTTTAAGGTCTCTTTCTACAACTAAAATATTGAAGATAGAGGTTTATGAAATTTGTTCCTTAAAGATAGATTTTGATACAATGTCATGAACAATTTTTCGGAAATGGTGGTACTTTTCACGATATTTTGCGTGAAAATACGGACGAGAAAGTACGTGCTGTTTTAGCACCACTAGTTTCTTGAAAGTTTCGTGAGAAGTTAGAATTAATAGTTACTGAAAATTTGAGGGGGTTGTTTCCCTCACCCTCCCTCCCCGTGGATCCACGCCTGCTTATCCCCACCCATCCATGCTGCCCGGGTTTGCACTCGATTTGCTCGAGCTCGAATCTCGAGGTCAAAGTGCAAAATGTTGTGCAGGCCTGGATAATCTAATGCAACACAAGAATTTTCTGGGATGCCGAGTTGTTGGCACTTGGAACGTACTGCCTCAGAGCACAATGACTGCACCTAATCTTCAAGTTTTCAAAGGGGCTTGCGAGGGTCTCTTCAGTGAAGTTGATTATAGACCCCAGTGATTGTCAAAATTATACTTTTCCTTGGGTTCATTATTTTTGATGGCGATATTGATATATGATCAATATAAAATGAAATATTGTGATATGTGCAATATAGTAATACAAGAATTATATAAGCGCTGATTCGGGCTATATCAGGTGTAAATACTGTTGCCAATTATTTAAATAAATATATTATTTATCGATTTTCTCTCTTTTTAACTGCAAAATTTGTATAGACATTCTTTAAGTAGGAGTATTTATCCGTAGTAACTTGTCAAAAAATATTTTCAAATAGTACCATATTTACCAATACAAGACGAGGTTTTCCCTAAATATCTCGGTCGAAAAATATGAGGTCGTCTTATATTCACTGATTGTCTAGTCGGTTAGGGTTTAAGTTTTTACATTGCCATTCCATGTCACGTAACTCGTAAATGTTGACGTAACAAACTGTGAAGACGGTAAAAATAGCTCGCGTACACGCGGCGCGTATATGTACTTAATTACCGGCACATTGGCATTTGTATTCTCGGCATCCTCCGCGAATTTGAGTGCAATCCAGCCCGATCTTTTTGAATGAGCCTGTAATGAGAGAATTTTTGAACGAATGGTATTCTATCAAATGAAACGTAACATGAAAATGAATTCCGAGATTTTGTTACACATGCGGGTTCGATACCCGGCGAATGCGAATCTGCGTTTCGTAAAGTCTTTTTTATTTATTTATTTTTTATTATGTAGCTTCTGGATTGACGATACGCGTCTCCAAGACCTGGGGGGGGGGGTGTTGAGCGCTTTGCACTTGGCAGTATAACCCCTATTAATTTTGCATTAAGAAGTAATCTCCATTAACCTCTTATTAAGAAGTAATCCTCCTTTTTATAATGAATACTTGTTGCACTAAATCAGAAGGAAATTCCATTGGCCTTTTCTTAAGATTTGTAAAAGCCTTTGCATCATTGACTTCATATACTTTAAGAAACTAGAATGCTAGGGATTTGAGGCATTGGCAAGGCCAATGGATCAAACATATTTATGGAAACGTAGACAAATAGTTTTGCCCTCCACACACTAAAGAAAACAAAATTCTCATCATACTACTCTGTCCCAAATAATAAATTTTGGTGGAGTTCCTGCAAGGGATCATCTTGGGCAATACTATTCTTAATACATAAATGACTGCTTTGGCTTTAAGGACACAAATAATTTTGTTTGCGAGACACAACATATCATCAAAGCAAAAACACACAATCATTAGAAAAAGTAATCACAAACTTTTGCAAGCACTAGTAAAATGGTTCAGCGACAAACTCATCAAAACACGAGAGACAGTCTCTCTAAATTTCATGAATCCTCGATCTAAAGAAAAACTCTCAAAAGATTTTGTCATAACAATAACCCTGTAACGATATCTCATGAACTACGCTTCCTTGGACTAACAATTCAAGAAAACTAAATGGAACACTCAATCTCAATATCTTAACAAGAGCTCAGCAAATCTTGCTATGCCTATACCCCTAGAGTGTAAGCTCCAACATTGAGAACTTCGAACTATGTTTTTTGCAAATGTGCACTCACACCTAAAATATGGAATAATATTCTGGGGAAATGCCCCTGAAAGCACTCGCCATTCATTATCCAAAAAGGATACTGCGAACATGACAGCACCTCATAAGCTGGAGTCTTGCAACCCTTGTTTATAAACTAAGGATTCTTTCTCTACCATGCATGTACATATTTGAAATAGTGGTCTTCAAAAAGAAAATTCTCATGGAAACAAAGACACTTTTACTTCAAATTCGGATGTACATAACTACAACACCCGTCAAAAGGATAACCTACAGTTCCCCACTCTGAAACTACACTTTAATAAAAAGTACCCTAATAGAGGGCATTACCTTTACAACAACTAGGCATATATAAAAGACATAAACACAATTCATACATTTAAAGTAAATTGAAAGTTTCCTGCTTAACAACATGTTCTACAGTGTAAAGGAATTTTCAATTTACATTTCCCTTAAAAATATATAAATTAAGAATTTCTTTTCTTATTCCATTAGACTTTGTTCATCATGAACTGTTTCAAGCTGAAGCAAGAAAAAAGAACTGCATATCACATCCTGTGAAATAGAAGAAGAAAAAAACTGGTCAAAACTTGCCTCCTCACCATTTCAAGTTATAATATAGAATGTACTCTATTGTTAAATTTGATGTAGTTGAAACTAATTATATTATGTATTATTAACTATGTATTAAATTATATTAATGTAATTATTATAATTAATGTAATTAATTATTAGATGTAATTAGTATTATGTAATATTATTATAGTATAGATAAAATATCATATTGAAATGTTAATTATTAGCAGATAATTTTTATCTGAGTAATATCTTTAATCTAACTGTAAAAAGTTATTGTATTTCTAGGCCAATGACCATCTTGATCAGGTTTTGTTCGTTCCTCTGATCCTTTGAGCAAATGCTGAGTGGCCCCTTGTTTGCTCCTGAACATAATATACTTCACTCTCTCTCCACCCAAGGCATCATATTGACTCGTCATACACGATTGTAATTGTATACATGTGACTCAATAAATATTATTATTATTATTATTATTATTATTATTATTATTATTATTATTATAACATGATCTTTCATGTCTCGTCGCAGTCAGTTGTCAGGAGGACCGCCAGGTAGCATCTCCGCATATGTGCCGGCTACTACGTGATTATATCCTGAAAATCTCCAAAACCAGTGACCATCATCTTTCTGTTGACAAACAGGATTGAAGTGTACCCTTTTGTATATAGAATAAACTATGGTGGTCTGTAAAACGTTCCCCAAGGAACACCATAAGTGACCATTCGTTCTCCACTAGTTAACTTTTGTAATTTCGCTACTTGATTACGACCAGTTAAATAACTTTTAATCAAATTATAAGTAATTCCTTTGAAGGATTTTTTTCCAATATCAATGTTAGATTTACTGTATCAAATACTTTAGCCAAGTCTTGATAAACAGAAAAGCAGGGAACATCTCTATTGCATCACAGATCTCAATTGATACAAACTTAATGGTATCTTCAGTATTTTTACCCTAATGAAAACCTAACTGAAATGAGTTTATAATATTATGTCTTGATAAATAGTTGTCAAATAGACTTATCGATCTTTAAAAAATATATCACTAAATAATTAATCTTATTGAATATAATATTACCTTGTATGAATTCCATGTTTTTTTACTGTTCTAAAACTAGTTTATGAGTAACCCGGCTATCAAAGAAATCATTAATTTATTTACAATTTTCCTGTCAGTGAAAACAAATCAAAGAATCACAAAATATGTAGAATTGAACAAACCTTTAAAAAATTTTACAGCTGCAATTTCTGTATTGGAAAGGCGAGCAGCATCTGGAAACATTTATGGTGGGGAAGGCATTTCTCGCAATTGTTGGCATCTGCTAAATACACTTGCCTTACAAGGTGAAGCAGAAAAGGTCAAACACATGTTCCATTTGCTTAGAACTCTGGGATTTTGCTCAGTGACTAATACTCTTTTGGGACCCCTAGTACGAGCACATCTTGTTAGGTGAGTATTTCACATTTTAGATGTTGTATCTGGCCAGAATTGGACTGATGGTTAAGTTAATTTAAGTAATGCCTGTGAATGTTTAGTAATTAATAGTTTAAAAATATTTCCATATTTTGCAGTTTGAGTAAGAATCTTGTAAAAGTTGATTTTTCTATCAATAGTTGCAAATAAGGGAAAAATATTTATCTGCTTGACAAGTTCATAGTTCATGGTTTTGATGGTGCAAACATAAGTATATCGAATTGGTATGCTAATAGTTTGGAAGGTTGGAAGGGGTGGGAAAGAAAGTGGAGGAGGGGAAGGAAAACTGTATAATGTTGTAGATTTAGAGCATATAAAAGATCCTCAAGCTAAGAGATGCCTCTGAGCTAAATTTTAATCACCTGTTGAGTCACCTGAGTGATGCCTTCTTTTGATGCCAATTGGAAAAAGGAGTGTAATGGGAAGGTGGAAGGCCTGATGGTCTGAGCCTCATAAAGTTAAATTAGCCATCATTGAATTGAATAGAATATTCACAAAAAGTAGTTGTTCTCTCATCTTTTGATGTGTTCAATATTTTAATGCTTTTCAGGGGTGAAACAGAAAGTGCTGTGAGAGAGTACCAACATTGTGCAACCAATTTCAAAACTACTCCTCTTCAGCTGGAACTCATGTCATATCTTGTGAGACAAACTGATTCACCAAACAACCAAAAGTTACTTGAAGATACCCTGGTTGCAAGTAGTTTAGTTCATGGAGAAGCCAGTACATATGCCACTTATATTGTTGCTCTGGCTGAAGCTGGGAAGAAAAGGGAAATTCAGAATTTCATTGCGGTATGACTATATACTATTTGTACTAAATATATACATTATAATTTTTGTTTCAAAAGAAATTGTAGTGGATTGTAAGATCTTCAGTGTCAAACCAGTTCAGGTGGTTCAGGGCATCAATTGATGTCAGCAGTGCCTCTGACTGGGAGGTCCTAGGGGTGAGTCCCAATGGTGGCAGGTTTCTCAACACCAGCTGCATAGCTAAGTCAAATTCAGCTGCTGTCTGCAGGAGAATTCTAGCAGCCATCTGCTTGGATTAGTAGTTTTCCATGGTTTCTCTAATCAACACCACGTGAATGCCAGAGCAGTACCCTAACAAACAGGCCACGGACCGTGCACGATCTTTCCTTCCTCTTCCTTCTCCTATCCTTGCCTACCCGATACTTACGTATACTTTCACTTGAATGCGTGAGTGACTGCATTAGGGTGACATGGGCATGGAGGAGTGAGCATGCAAGGATAGAATTGAATTTTCTAATAGACATCTGAAAAAATTCCTTCTTGGCTCTGACAGCAGGCACCAATCAGACATTTTGTAGATGAACCTGCAATTGAATTGCTTAAATCAAGAAGCAGTATTCAATTCCTTACAAGATTTGAAAGTTAATCAGTAAGGAGGAAAAAATCATTGTGCTAATGTTAATATTAATATACAAATTCATAAAAAAATTGATTTAATCTATAAATTATTATTGTTTAACAGAGTAACATTCAGCAATATATTTTTCCTTGTCAATAATCTTTTAGAATGATGCCTAATATAAAAATAATTGATATTATGTTATTTTGTTTTTATCTTTGGTTTAATTTGATACAAAAAACTACTCAAAATATGTTTGACTACTTGCCAATCTCTTATTGAATTAACCTTTTTTTTAACAGAAAAATATGTTTATTACAATGTTAAAAAAACAAAGCAAAAACTATATTGGACAATCAGTAAAACCTGAAATATTTAAACAATTAGGACAACTTGAAATAAATGCCTTAACAGTTTCATTCGACCTCATAACCAACATTAATATTGTACTTTTCTCATGATCACCTTTGTGCGATGTGACTACTGATTAAATGAATCCTCTCAACAGAAACACCATCAACCAACAAACCAAGAAAACTAAACAAAACACACAATGTCATTAACTTAACCACATACAAAATAACTACTGGCTATTAATTTTAGAAAAAGTTATAACTGGGGCAAAAAATAACCAAAAAAGAGGCCAACAAAATGAATAAAAAAGCATTTACTCATAAAATGGGTAGGTTATTCCCATCCCTGTGACACTCCATTACTCCCTCGTATTATCAATGGAAAATTTTTCTCAGAAATATGTAACTGATAATGTTTAAAAGTGCTGTTGCTAGTTAAGGACAGACTGTATTAGTGGCTTTCCAGAAAACTAAGTAACCATGACTTTTGTATCAGCAAAGTTAACTTAATCGGTAACAAACTGTCGTAAATTTATAGACCAAAAGATATTTTTGAAGGAAGATCACAATGAGAGGTCATCACTTTTACAAAGAATACAATTTGGTCATTAAATCCTTTCCTCCATTATTGAAGTATTTGTAGTAATATTTACTCAAATTGAATAACACCAGTCTGATGTTTGCTAAATTGAAATACTACTTTTCGTTTCAGAATTGTTTTGTAATATTTTTATTGCTTTTTTTTATTTGCAGAAAAATGGTTCTAATGTTCACTCAGCAAGTTTGTTGAGTAAAATCAAACTATTGGTAAAAGAAAACAAACTAGGTCCCTTATTAATTCTTGCAGAGGAATGTGATCGTTTGCCAAAATTTAATTCATCTTTATTGTATACTAGTGTGTTAAAAGTGTTAGGTAAGTAGTTCACTTTAACTGAGTATTTGTATATTAAACAAATTAAGGAATAGTGTATTAATTTAAGTATATGAAAACTAAGTGAATTAATTTGTTTTACACATAATATATTTCCATTCTAATTTGTTGATTTATATCATTAAACCATTGTAGATTAGGAGAAATCTCTTTAATGTGTGTAAATCTAGTATGATATGTATGTTTTTAATGAAATCTTGAGCATTTGGGTGATGAACTCATCGTTTTTCGAGAAACATTGTTGTCCATGCCATTTTTTCGAGTTTGGAAATTTAAAAAGAAATCACTGCGAGCCATATCCTGGGATTGCGGGGGATTTTGCAATAATTCAAACTTTGATTCCATAATTTTGCCCATTGAAATTGCACAGGTGTGCATACATACATTGCATTGACGGAAGAGGATCCTTTTTCAAATGACGTTTGTTCTTGAATTTTTCTCAAAACCCGTACAATAACAATCCTTTTTCTTCTCCTCCAAGTAATCAGTGTAGATGATTCCATGTGCATACAAAAGAGAGTAGCCATCATCTTGCCTCCCAATTTTACCGTCTTCTCCTTTTTTGGAGCCTGGTTGCCTCCCAAACATCCTTGTTTTGTGAGGCTTCCGTGGCCGGAGTCAGTATTTACTAGGCTGTTCGGGTGATGCCGCGTCCATGGCGAATGTGCTGACGTTTCGGTCGTCATTCTGCGACCTTCCTCAATATGCCCTGAGGAAGGTCGCAGAATGGCGACCGAAACGTCGGCACCTTTGCCATGGACACGGCGTCACCCGGACAGCCTAGTAAATACAATCCTTGTTTTGACTGTTCCTCAGTCTGGAGTGTAGGGGTGTTTCATTTTTATCTACAGTTATGTATCAATGGAAAAACTCGGCACCCTTTGAGTAAGCAGCTATATAAAATAGTGGCTTTCTTTTCTTTTCCACTTGTAGTGACAATTTAAAAAAAAATCACACTGTCAGATGCGAGACTATTGAGGTTCTAGCAAGAATACTTTGAGCAATAAAAGAATATTGTCATTGACAGTTGTGGTCTAGACTGTCTTCAGCAGGATTGATGACTAATTATGTAATAAGGTTTCTTTGAAAACCACCATACAGTTGTTACAACACACAGTTTGCTGTGTGATCACTGTTGATGTGTTTGACTGACCAGAAGAAAAGCAGTTTCTTGTGAAGTGTAAAGGAATAACTGAAGGGACTATTTTTGTTACAGATAAACAAGGCGATTGTGATGGAGCTTTAAAGTTATGGACGTTAATGCAAGAAAAAAATGTTCAGCCATCTAATGAATTCTATAAGCATTTAGCTTCAATTTTGAAAAGTCACAAGAGACAGATTCCATTTGTTGTTACGGAATCAGAACAATGAGATATTGTAGTAAAATACCCATATTTGCAAATTCTCTGCCTTTCATTTCTTTTGAAAGAGACCACCCATTTATTGCATTTATTGGTACTTACTTCAATTTATAAGAGGCTATTTGCACAGTGTTAATAAGTCTCAAAAATATTTGTGAACCTGCTCAATGACAGTAGTGCAGCGTAGTAAACAACTTATTAAAATCAAATCATGGAATTTGTTGAATCATCCATTTTTATTAATCATTCATCGATCAATCATTGCCTTTATTTAATGATCATGTGTAGCAACTTTGTAAATATGTATAGTATATTGAGTAATTATGTGATAAAGTGTGTAAAGTGTAAATATACAATGCTTGTTAATTTGATTTTTATTGAATGGCAATCGCTCAAAAGAAAAATTAAATGTGCACATAAAGAGCAATGATACCAACACACATTTATAATTCTTTCTTGCTTTTATTACACTACAATCAAAGACTTATATCTGAATCTCTAAATAGTCATGCTAGAAAATGGCAGAGATTTTCTCAAAATAATTTTAACTGTTGCATATAGTTTTAATAATTATATTGCAACTTGTACTACTATTATTCCATCTCTCTCTTGCAAATCTGCTTTCACCGCCCTGCTATAGTGATACCACATTGCACACTTCTTCTGTTTCTTAAGACTAAGACTCACATTATAAAGAAAACCTTACTGCCAAATCTGTGGACCACAATCCTTTTATCAAACTACATTTATCAGTGGTGGTTTATGGTACAATTTTCAGGTGGTTGCGGGGAGCCATAAAATTAACTTGCCCAAACATAACTCAAAAACATTATAGATTGAACCCCAGCATAAAACCTAATTTGTTGTGCTAAAGAATGGCACAAACTTTCTTCAATTTCAATATTTAGGTGCTGGTGTTGTTCATGGAAGGAACAGACATTTTGAAAGGAGGGAAAAAACAACACTTTTTTGCTATTCCAAATTTGTATTTCCATTGAAATCTCAAAATTGATTTTCTGCCACATTACAGAGCTTTCTGTATAATATGTATCTTACTCCATGTATATACTTACGTATACAAGAAAGTAACTAGTGGGGCTATGGACTTTCTTGTACTAGTTTCCTAATCTGTTTTGTCTCGGCTAGTTTTTGGTTTTGTCCCAATCCTCTTCCCAGCTGTTACCAATCGGCATTTAAAAGGACATTATTTCGATTTGCTCAATTTTTTGGACCCTTAGTAGCAGAATCAAAATTGAGAGTTCAACAAAAATGATACCTGCACAATTTTTAAGTGTACTTTCCTCCATCACAGGAAGAAATTAAAAGAAAAAATTGGGTTTGGGAACAAAAATTTAAAATGCCTTCACTTCAAGCAAAAATTACGCAAATACTACTAGTTCTGTCGAAGTAATTGTGTGTGTCATAAAACATTAAAAATAATGAACTGTCTTTATTTTAAGAAAAAAATTGAACATGATCTTATTTGCAAAACTATTTTTTTTTTTAGAACGGAATACAATAAGTAAACCAAGTGACTTACCAAATTGTCCAGTTTCCGTCATACATGTGTGTCACATTTCATGTATCTGCTTCCCTGGCACCTGAGATATCCATGGAATGGTTTCTGAAGAGAAACCTAGCTTCTTAACAAAACATTCTTCTAGCTTTCTGTTCATTTTAAAAATCAATGTATGTAGCCAATATCTTAGATTTTAATAGAAGGAACATTGTTTTCTTTCATTTGCTAGAAGAAAAAAAGAAAAGCTTACAATCCTTTTTATATTTTGACGCAAAATATTCAAAATTGGATATGACATGTTCTTGATGCAACTTCATGCATGTTCTCATTTCTTTGTAAAATTAGTCGTCCCAGTCGATCTGGCCCCACTCAAAGGTTGAATGACATTTTTTAATATTGGGGGGTTCTTTTTATTTTTTTATTTAAAGATAGGAAAATACACCTTTAAAGATGTCATAGGTCCGATTTTCACTGTTAACTCTAACATTAACTCAAAAGTTCGAAATTTTTTGATGTTCTCCCTACAACTACAAAATTGATGGGATTCTTAAAATGAAATTTGTTCTCCGTAATTAGTTCTTTCATTAACAAATTCAATTTAATGGTTTGCATAATATTGCGTTAAATGTGCAATATTAAAAAATATCCAAAACATCATTTTCTCAAAAGCTGTCAAAGCTTGTTTCTTAAAACTTTTAGTAGGATTAGTGTTAAATTTACATGATACAAACGCAGATTTGGTCAATTCTTGTGCTTTTTCAAAAATATGCATTTGGAATTTCTTGACATCTGTCATGTTATTAATATTTACATTTACCAACGGTTTGTATTCATTATTGTATTTATGAGTTCAAGTGCTTCAAATGAAGTCCTATATAGTTTCTCGAAATTCAAAAGTTTTCGGAGAAAATAAGGTCAAATTCCGCATTTTTAGAAACTCCCAAATGTTACTTTCTCAGTGCTGAATACTGTTGATACTGAACTTAGGTGCTAGCCCCACTTTCAGGTATCGCTCTTTATTTTTTTTTAATTACATTTTTAAGTTTAAAATAAATAAATAAAAATAATAAAACTACAAAATTGAGTTTATAGATTTTTACTTCAGACAAAGCATGTTGTACAATATTAGTTTTTTTTATAAAGGCCATGTACAATTTTTGAAAAAAACAGTAGTTTTTGCGTAAATTGCAATTGAAATTTACGAGTTTTTTTTATGAAAAGCCGCTCCAAATTGTTTCTTTAATTTTTCTCTACATATGTAGTAAGGGATGTAAGAAATATGGTGCTAGTCTCATTTTCGGGTATTGCACGTTTTTTTCGAAAATTGCAAAAAAGTTTCAAAATTACAAAATTGAAGATAAAAATGTTTGCCTCATTTGATGGAAATTGCTTACATTTTAATTACTGTATTGATATTATTAGCCAAGCGAATGCACAGAGATTTGACAATGCGGCGCTGGCAAAAGTGCGTTGCTCGCTTCTTGGTTGAATTGGGACGTTTTCAAATAATAGCTGAGGTGCTATTAGCGTAGAAAAAGCAATATTTCAATCTTACGAAGCTGTTTGCAATAACGCGAGAAAGTATGTGCTGTTTTAGCACCACTAGTTTGTAAAACTTATTCAAAATTGTAGAACAATTGGTACGGAAATTAAATAGTTTCAAGCAATAGACTAAATGAAAATCAGTAGCTGTTCGTGGCCATGCCATTAGGGTGTGCAACGTCTCTCTTCCCTCCCCCTTCCTCCCCCTCCCTCTCATACACTACACATACCCATATACAAAGGCATGCTATAATTGTTTATGTTCATTTCAAATAATCGTGTCAAGTATGTAATGATTTGTTCCCTACAAATGTTCAACAGTTCTCGGCCGAAACCATCAAACCCTACGGACCTGTTGCTTCTTAAATTACGAATTATTTGTCTAATGAGCCGTGATTGTACTTGAATTGTTTCTCCTCCAGTTGCTCCGAAAGTATTGGAAGTATCCGATCCTAAGATCTGTAATCTTCATTGGTGTTCGTCTTTTCCCTTAACTGTTAGTACAAATGTTCCGTTTCCGTCTTTAAGAGGTGGAATAGATTGTTTTCCCCTTTTTGTTTTACATATGTATATAATTTTCTCTAACTTGTTTGTTCGTTTAGTAGAATTTTATGGAGATACGTTTCGTGTGTTCTACGCTTTTTCAAAATTAATTTGTTACGTATATGTTTGAAGAGAGTCGCATAGACGATCTTTTTTGCAATTTGGATTTGCTTTCTTGATCTTTTTTGAAAAAAATCCTGGTTTTTAGCCCTGTTATACGCTGGACCACTATTTTCTTTAACTTAAGTATTCTTGAAACCCTTTTCTGTTAGCACGACTATATTGCAATAAGAGTTTGCTGTGTTCTTGGAGCACCTACTTCGCTGCCATGTCACCTGCAATAACACACCCTCGTGGTGATTTGTACCTGGTGTTTCTTGAACTATCAACATCTGCTCTTGGCGTACTAAAATAATGTCAAGCACCACGCAAGCGTTTGTGGGTACGTCAATTACCTGTGTTATCCGTTTTTCCAAACGAGTTCCTTAACAATGAATTGCCCACAGTTTCGTGGATCTACGACCCGTTGCCACGATATTCCCGGTAAATTAAGATCACCATTATGACATTTCCTGAAAGTACCCCCGGACGCCTAGTTATTTCTACTTATTTGTGTGTTGCATGTATATTGTGTCCCTAAAGTTCTCTTTAGGGGCACGATATACCGCAGCTATATTTAAAATCGTATTGTTGCCCATTCCGCATAATTGAACACAATGTCTCATGTACAACGTTGGTAAGTATTTCAAAACTGTTCATGTTTTTTGTTACGCAAATGAAAACACCCCTCCTTTTTTATCTTTGACTCTTCTGTATGTAATGAAACTCGGACTAAATATTTGTTGTTTATTTCCTCCGTGAGCCAGAATTATGTGCATATAATTATTATTATTATTATTATTATTATTATTATTATTATTGCATGTCATTCATTGTTGAACGGCAACAATATAAGATAATGAAATTCTTCTCTTTGTTGAACATTGACTTGCAACTATTATGAGGCTTTGTTTTATTTATTTATATTTTTTAGTTAACGTCAAGAACAGAACTAGCACTAAACAGCACATACTTTCTGGCAATATTATAAGGTTATCGTTATGTACGACGGTACACCAATAATGTTTCATTAATTTCAAACAAATTACGCAGAAACTTTTACAATAAATTGTACAGGACCTATTTTAAAGACATACTTTTGTACAACAGATTTTGTCAGAGGCAAAATTCTCTATCTTCAGTTTTGTAGTTTTAAAAACTACTTTTTCAATTTAAAAAAAAACAACAACTTGCAATACCCGAAAACGGAACTAGCACAATCTTTTTACCGACCCTTATTACATAAGTGTAGACAGTTTAAAGAAAAAATTTTGAGCAGGTTTTGAGAAAAAAATGTCATAATTTGAAGCGGAAATTACGCAAAAACTACTAGGAGCTTCATGTAAAGTACCCCTCAAAGTTAAAATATAGGTTTCAAAATCCATGGGCCGCGACATCAGCCAGAACGATTGAAAAAAAAAATGTTTTGGAGAAAAATGCCAGCGCTGTTTATGCGCTAGCGTTGTGCACAGACAGGTAGTCGGACAAGACAGACGTTTTGCCGTCAATACATTTTTCGGCATGAAGGAAGCACAAAACATGGCTACACCACGTGAGGATTTTTTTTCTATCTTTAGCAACTGGATTTATCCACTTTTTCGCCTGGCAATAAGTTTTTGTATGAAAAGAAAGCAATCTCTTGAAGTAATGAAGTAATTTGTTAGTTATAAGGTAAAAAATTTATTACCTTCCATCAATCTACTTCCTTTCATTCTACAGCTTTCATACACCTCTC